ATACAGATTAAAAAAATCTTTAAAAAAATCAAAAATTAAGTTCCTTGGATGGTAAAATTATAAAAGTTTGACTTTTATTAATATGTGTTGTAGAACTTTTTTATGATAAAATAAATAATTAAAATTAAGAGATAATAACTAACAACTTAATTAATTTAATGATAATTTTTTATAATGAAAATAAAAAATTATAAATTTGAATCACATAGTTACAATAAAAAAATATTTTTTCTTGTAAAATATATGAAAAAATAACTATTATTTTTACACAAATTTTAAATAAAAAAATCTTTTATTTTAAGACGATGAAATATTTATTAATAGTTGATGAGTTAGGACAGAGAACCTCTGTCTCGATGTTGAGATGCGCAAATGATTTGTGTCTTCGGTTGAATTTGTATTTGTATTTTATACCTTTTCATTTGATGAATTTAGCATTTTTTTTAGCATGAACTACACTCATAAAACATTATCAATAAATTAATATGAAATGGGGTTTCAGTAATGATGTGTTAATAATTTTAGTACCTGAACGATACTTTTTATTGTGTAGTGAATGCTGAAAAAATATTTTTACTTTTATTTTATACCTCAAAAGGAAAACATAGCAGAATCAATTGTGTACCTGTAGGTCTAGAAGAAGAAGGTATTCAAGAAATTGGACACAGAAACAAGTTGGGCCAAGCAGATTAGAAGTAGCGTACAATAGATCTTAATTGCAAATTGCAAGCCCATTCTTTCTGATAAAGAGAGGCTTGATTGATGGATATTTCCTGGAAGAAAAAACACGATTCAAATGTGATCACTAGGAGACATACACTTCTATATTAATTTACTTGAAATGCCTAAAAAAAAGGAGACTTCACAAGATTATTAATTAAGAAGCTATAAATTAATTAGGGAAAATCAAACAACAGTACAATGAGGAATCTAACAATTCTTTTAAAAACTAAAAAAAAGAATCTCACAAGGAAAAAAATTAAGTAAAAAAATCTTAAAACTATATATATGTTGTTTAAATGAAATTTCTATTAAAAAATTATTTTAATTAATTCGATTTAGGGTAGAGAAATGTTTTCAAAATAATAATTCCGAAAACAAGGAGTAAAAATCTAGGGTATGAGATTATTACATTTAAGAAAATTATTTATTTATTTAGATATAAAAAAGTACATGCTTTTTCATGTTATACTTCAAAGCGAACATAATCGATGGAACTGCAAACTTGTAAGTCTAGAAGATGGTATTGAAGAAATTAGACACTGAGAAACAAATTAAGCCTAAAAAATTAAAAAAATAGCAAACAATAGATAAATGTTGGTGGATATTTCTTTAAAAAAAACATAATTCAAATATGATCATTAGTTAGGTGACGAACACTTCTATATTAATTTATTTGAAGTGACCAGTGACCATAAAAATTTAAAAAAAATTTTGGGAGGGGGGGGGGCCTTCAATTGGATTTTCATTTAAATTGGGATTTTGAAAAAAAAAGAATAAAGTAAACATAAACTAAATCAACAATATGGTTATGAATTACTCTATAAGAATCACTGAGATATATATCTAAGAAAAAAGACATAGATAGATTGTGTACTTACATGCAGGAGTAGCAGAAGAAATAGGTAAAGTTAGACACTAATAACCAACTTGGGCCGAGCAAAGTAAATTACTAGAAGTAGCAGCAGGTTCAACTTCTGATGCGAGGGGTTGAT